GACTTTGGAGAGGAAAAACTCTGTTCGGAGAGCGGTAAAGATATTTATATATATATATATGTCCCTGTTCGAAATGTTGCTGTTGTAGTAATTGGGTCGGATCGCTTCGTTCGTCCGCGTGTCTATTAGTGTTTCGAAAAGTAACAAAAAGCTAGAATGAAATTAGAATTAAATTAACTAAATAGCAAACATTGTTACTACTAGTAAGGCACTTGTTACTAGAAGCGATGCACTTGTTACTAGTCGCGATGCCCTGAGGTGTATGTTTGCAGACGTGGCTCTGAATGTCTCATTGAGCTGAGAGGATGGCGCTTGGGGCCGAAGCATGCGCTGCACTAGAGGACGAACCCTAGATAGGAAGGAATCCTCAAGCCAATGGATTGATAGCGGGCTCCAACCTGGAAGCGATGGCCTCCAACCTAGCAAAAGGAACCGAACAGCGATGGCCTCCTTGTGTCGCTCACAAACTGAGTTCCTCCACTTAGGAACGATCGCCTAAAGATTGTGGCGGAAGGTAGCAATTGTGCACTCGACTCACCCACCTTTGGCTTTGGTGTCATGATTGCAATGGAGTCGTGAGGGTCGTCGACGAAGTTGAAGTTTCTTTGGACGGTGGTTTTTCATGAAGACATTGGCATTCTGTCAAGGTGACATTGGCATTCTGTGTTGCCTAAGGCACCAATCCTGCTTGGGTCTTGAATGAGGCCAGCTGGTTTGCACCCAAACAGAGCGCATGAATACAGATTTCGGACTCTAATTGTAGCATTTGCGCTGGTTGCCTAGCACCTCCTCCTTGGCGCCTTTTCGACTTCGCTTGGCAGGTGACATACTTCTTTGACGACACCAACACCAGTTCCTACAACATCTTTAACGTCGGTGTGGCTAAGGTGTCGATGATTCGACCACGACTTTTTTAAGGGGGCCGCTAGAGGGAGGTAGGGTAGCTAGGGCAGCTAGGTAGAAGTTAGGTAGCTAGTAGCTACTTAAGCTACTACATATGGACGTGGGATAGCGCACGCTCGCACTAATGATTTGGTTCCTAGCTTTTTTGGGGAAACTTAAGTTATGTTGTGTCAATTTGTCCAAATGTACTTGAGACAGCTGGTGTCTCTGACTGTCAGGTTGGAACTCAAGAGGAAGGCTGCTTGCCTGACGATGTGAACTGTGGATATCGACTTTGCTGCTGTCCCGGAATCAATAATTGCTACTTGGATGCACCAGTGTCACAAGAGTAATGCTGAGCAAAGATCTCACAGCGAGGTGGACTTGGGACGAAACAGACCGACCAAGAATGAATATAAACAACCAAGTGCCTCCAACCGGATAGCCATGGCCTCCAGCCCAAGAGCGACCTCCAACCTGCAATGGAGAACGACCAAGTTGGCGGACTCCGGAAAGATTGAATTTAATTCTATATTAATTCTAATCGCTTCTTGTTTCTACTAGTAAGGCACTTGTTACTACTAGCGTGGCACTTGTTTCTACTAGCGAACCTTGTTACTACTAGTAAGGCACTT